AAAAACTCCGAATAATATATATTGTGTGAAATATTGCACATATTAGACATGTTTGACTTGAAGATCCGGGTGGCTGGAGCCGTGGGTGTGGGCACTTAGCCATGTGGGAGAGATGAGAGGGAGTGAAACCGTCGGCTAGGGATGCCGTCGGTTTGGAGAGAGGGAGAGAGGTTTAGGTATTTTTTGTAGGGCTTCGGGATTGAGTTTTGAATTACTTTGTGTATTGAATGTGGCCATGTATTTATAGGGCTCTAGGCATCTAGGGTTTTTCAAAGAATATCTTCTTATTTTGAAGGAAGATATTCTTTCCCCAAATTGTAGAGATTAAATCAATTAGGGATTTGATTGGGATCAAATCACTAATTGATGATGATATCTCCCAAATAGGATAATACCCTAAATTGGTGATATTATCTTTTAGATAAAGATAATATCACAATTTTTAGTATCAATTAATTTGCCAAATAAATGGGCTCAATATTCTTATTGTCCACGTGGCGCCTTGTGATTGGAAGCCGAAATATTTGTTCCCACATGCCCAACAATGTGAAATGAAATCAAAACAATTGAAGCAATCAATATGAAGCTTTAGACAAAATTGAATTGCACCACTAATTCATTTTGATTCAACCTTCAGCTTAAAAGCAATAATAAAAACTATATGGGTTATTTACTCAAATGGTCCTCAAACTTATACCCGATTTACATTTTGGTCCCTAAACTAAATTATTCGTTCAAATGGTCCACCAACTCTTTATTAATCGGCGCTTTAGTCCTACCATTACATTATGTCAATATTACCATCAAATATAGGGGTAAAATGGTCTAGTTAAATAAAATAGTAGATAAATTAAAAACTAAAAATTAAAAGAAAAAAAACCTATTTCCCAGCTCCCAGCCCCCAACCCCTAGCCCGATAACCCCATTGCCCCAGTGGCCCATCTTCTCTTCCTCGCAGCCCACCCTATCTTCCCCTCCTTCCATATCCCCTCCTTCTCCTCTGCAACATCATCATCAGGGTGCGGAGGTTGAGAAATCGGCTTCGACAATTGTGTTCAAGAAGTGGTCGCCGGGGTTGGGTTGCGGGTAAGGATCGGGGGTGGGTTGCGGCTGAGGTTGGGATGGTTGTTGGGGAGAAGAAAATACGGAGGGAGAGAGAGAGCACATGAGAAGATCGTGGGGGTTGGGTCGCGGGTAGGGATTGAGGGTGGGTTGTAGCTGAGGCTAGGATGGTCGTTGGGGAGAAGAAAACACATAGGGAGAAGGAAAGCACATGAGAAGGTGGCGGCGGTTGGGTTGTGGGTAAGGATCGGGGGTGGGTTGTGGTTGAGGCTGGGATGATCGTTAAGGAGAAGAAAATACAGAGGGAGAGGGAGAGCACATGAGAAGGTCGCGGGTAAGGATCGGGGGTGGGTTGCGGTTGAGGCTGGGGTGGTCGTTGGGGAGAAGAAAATATGGAGGGAGAGGGAGAGCACATGAG